CAGACTTACATATAAAAACTTAGATAATTTAGGTTACTAATACACATATGGAGAGAACAATTATGGGGCTAACGCATAGAGGCGATAGAAGTGCCCTCTTTTTCAGTCCTATGCTACTGGCTCATAATTTCCATACTTCCTACGTATGCAAGTGTCTATAGCTCACAAGCATAAGCGCAAGCAATAGAGAAAGCGTATGTAGGCACTATTTTTTTTTTATCGTTCCTATGCGTTCTTCGGAGAGGAGGAATACCGCAGTGTAGCAGATATGTATAGGAACATGGTCACAATCTACTGGTTCCTTCATGCGTTTGCTCTGTGGCTAGTGGTTATGCTTTTCAGTTATACTCACTTACATTAAAAACATATGTGCCATTAGCTAATCACACAGGGTCCAGAAGATAGAGCAACGGTTTTGTCTCCACCATGTCCTTGCTTCATTATTGTTCCCTCCTTAAAGTAAGCACAATGAGTGAGGAAAATTAATTGTTCTGAGATTAGTCAAGTACGCTATTCTCTCGAAACCTTATGTTTATTATGTACACTTATATAACATTTTTTTTAACAAGTTGTAATATATCTACATAAAATACCGAGCTTGTTACTTTTTGTAACACTCGTTTCTTAAGGCACTATTTAATTAACAGGCTTTTTTTCAATGTAATGTACTGCACGAAAAAAATCTTAAAAACAAGTTTTAGCGATGTAGTGTATGTATGGTTAAAAATATTCGGTATTTATATTTTGGCACTAGCAGGATCTGCGTCCTCGATGCTGGGACCAGAAGACAGTGTCCTAGACATTAATTTTTAGCGTAATTGCCGTTTTATTCCCTTCACTTATTAAATCTAGTTATTGTCTTTCCTTTTTGTGCCACGGTGGCTGAACATACCTTGCTAATACGATAGTATTTTTGATGTTTTTCTGCTTTTCATTTTTGTTAAGTTCTTGGTCAACTTACCCTTGGGTGCAACACAAGCTCCTTGCTTTGCCTACTTAGCAACAACTTATACTAATCCATTAAATCTTTTATCTCTTTTGTCTTATGACTCGTTAAATCTTTCACACAACTTCGATGATCAATTTTTGACATTCATTTCAAGCGTTCGAAGTTTTTTCAATATTGTGTGTAAATAGCAACATATTTTTATTTGAATGTTAACACTATCGGAAAGCGCTAAAAGATAATTATTTTTGTTTTTATTATAATTCATCACGTTCTTACACCTGCAAACAAAAAAGTACTTCATGTTTGTGGTCGAGTCTTAATTAATAGATTGACTAAGATATCACTAAGCAAACAGTGTTATTATTATTTCCTCATTTACTTGCCAACGTTATATTCATAAATATTGTATATAAATATTTTATTTTATGAAAAGAGGGAGAATACGTTTCTGCACTCCACAGAAACCGAGGTAGTAAGTGTTTCTGTAAATGTTTCTAATTTGCCACTAATACCTTCGTATCCCTTCTTTTATGCCACTTGACTTCAACTCTTTCCTTAGCTGAAAAGTTAACGTTCTAAGCACAGAGTGGGTCCACATTTAACTTTACTTACCATTTAAACTTCCTCCATTCCTTTTTATGACGAACCGCTCACCCGACATAGCCGTCCACAGCTCTCCATCTTTGTTTTCAGGTGTTGGTGCCACATCGAACTTCTTAACTGCTCAAGCTTACAGTGCCATATCTTGCACACGAAGAATGTGTGCTTGATCATGTAACTCTAGGCAGTAAGCACATCTGGGCAATGCTACCACTAATTTATTGTAGATATAGACATTAAACTTGCCCGATCCAGAGAAGAACTGGGTAAGGTAGTAATGGATCTACGTATTCTCCCTTCACCCATGGTCGCAGGTGCAGGATCAGGCGAAATGGCCATCTACCCACACTAGCCTGATCCCTTTTCTGTTGCTACGTTGTCAACGCTTCCTTCCATCTCTCAGTATCACTTTCTTGGCCAGAGCACAGGACTCTTTTTTACTACACCAGCTAAGGTAACAACACATAAATCTATTGTGTTTTAACTATAATAGTGATAGAGAAGACCGTGTGACCGGTGCACACAATCTTTAGGGATCCAATGGGTAACACTAAGGTAAGGCGCTAGAGGAAATTCCATCTCACCAATGTATCTACCTATACCTCTGCAGCATACAACATTTTCGGGTGAAAGACCCACCCAAGAAGCCATCTTTTGGCTTGCCCTGAGCCCCAAATTTTAGGTAATTTAAGTAATATTTAAGTAGGTACTTTCACAACCAAAATAGAGGCTTCGTCAACTGCTCTTTCGATGGGCTCCCAGAAGATAAGCCCAGAGTTGATCCACAATCCCAGGTACTATACCACTAAGCTCGCGCAGACTGCCTCACTTGCACTAGTCAGGTAGACGCCCCCTCCCCCGAGCCATCTCTACCTCTGTTTTTTAGATAAATAGTTCAAGACCGTAATTCTAAAGCTACTCTGACACTATCCCGACTACCGTTTTCATTCTACTCTCATAATCTTGCCGTGAAGTACAATTCTATGTCATCAGCAAAGCCCATCAGCTTGATCCCTTGAGATATTTTCTTGCTTTACTGTATATGGCAATATTCACCCTCATCAATTTTGTCACATTTATAGTGCACATGATGGAGTAGTCTTACTTATTTTTGCTTAGTACAATAATTCATACTTGCAAATAACTCTGCGTTTGGTTGTGTCAAAATCACGTTTAAATACAAATAAAAGGCAATGTATTGATCCTGAAATTGGCGATTATTGTTCAGCCACATTTATCTCTGTTCATTCAGTTTATTGCTACAAAACGTTGATGTAAAAATTGAGAAAATAGTTTTATACATAACTTAAATGGTTCATTTATGACCTCATTCTTACAGAAAAAAAATAGTTAATAAAATTTCATTTAGTAACACCTCATTTTTTTAATTGTGTACATCAATTTAGAAAAAAAAATTTATCATAAAGTCTAGCTAGAGCATCATATATACTTATAATTAAACTTGATGTATAATTTACTTACCTGATATGATTTATACACAATTTCCAACCACTTTATACATGTCTATTTTCGTATACATAGAGTGTGTAGAATATGTACTCACAACTGTAGAAATTTCTGTGTAATCTATAGAATATCGATTCATGAGGGTATAAAGAAACCAGTTACTGGAGTTTTTGAAAAAGCTTAGCGCAAAAATAAATTTTTTCAGTTTCAAGGAAAGATCTACTCTTTTAAGCAATATCCTGCAATTAACACCCACATACTATACTACATTATTAATGATTGAATACAGATTGTAAGTTTAAATTGACTTAGAAAACATTACTCTATTTATGATAGACACTCAATGGCACACGGATTATTACTCCATCTTAAGGCTTAATGTCCTATATGAATATTTCTAGAAGTGTCGAAGAAGTCTGAGTTTCTAGATTGATAATTAATAATATATTCGGCATCATCTATAAGCAAAAGATGCCGATTAACATTTGGCAAAAGATATCTATTGTAACTGTAACTTAGAAGAAGATAATTTAATTGCAATGCCCTCTTCCCCAGTGGATAGGATACATAACCATAAACTTTTCAGAACAAGTGTAAATTTTGGGTACCAAGTAGAAAAGATGTTTTAGTTATTACTTTTCTATAAGATGGTTGATTTGTATGTATCCTGAAAAAGTGTTTTAAATTACCTTAAAAAAATTGAAATTTTTCGAACAAATAATTTTATTTTATAAATTTATGTAAATGGTTAGAAGTTAAGAGCTTACAACTGTAAGGCAATATTTACAGAATCATTCTAGTGTCATTCTGTATGGATATTTTTCGAGATAAAAGTATGTGAGTCCCTATCTGGGTATAGAGGAACTAGTTATTATTAGGATTCTCATGCAAATAAAGAGTAAGATTTCTTGTAACAGGAAACACATATTAAAGCTGTTTGCGTGCTTTTATAGCATTTCTTTAAAGACGATGAATTACATATTATATCCACGAGTACATAGATTTATGCACAAACAATCAAACTTAATAAATATTTTGCTCAAAGAAGCTTGATAATAGGGGCTCAAACATAGATTTATAGGGTATGCTAGGGCTAGCCAAAAAAATTTTTCTTATTTATTCAATAATACATAAAACTTCTTATTTTCTAATGCAGAACATTTTCACTCGTAGTGAATTCACAGAACTATTACTATTCACTTGAACAGCGAAAAAATGCTCTAGAATTGGGTCATCTACTTCTAATAATCTATGAGCTTACTTATTATATGTGTTCGTATGCGATATTAATAATATTTACAAGTATTAGTATTTAGTTCTTTTAGTTATTGTTAAAGTTATCGATTGATTAAAAAAAAATAATATTTTTTTTTTAATAATCGTACGATTTCTCCACAACTTATGATCATCCTTGAAGTATTTTCATGGTTACTTCCATATCCTGACTAAGAGCAACTTGTTTACTGTAGCAATCTAGCAATGCATTGGTAAACTCAAAGGGTATGAGTTAAAACATAAGATTGGGTCAGATTCTTAGTATTATCTATGTTTGCATAGAGATGCGTTATAAGGGTCAAAATGTATAACTGTTGTTCGTATAGTTGATTATCTTAAATTTTTGTATTCCTGCTAAAGTGATAAGAAAATATAGTTTTATATGTCATATAAAACTGTTTCTCTGATAAACAGCTAAAGTCAGATAGCTTATGTACACAACGATTTACATTCGTGTAGAAATAAAACCTTAGGATGATTTAAAATACGATGTTTTTTGAATGACTTCGAAGAGAAAGTTCTTTCTTTCATGGAGTGGGATGGGATAAAATAGATATGTAAGTTAAAGTGCTCTCTAGTAATACAAAATTTTATAACTTAGTTCAGCTTCTTATTTAAAAAACTATGCGTTGTATTTTCCACATTATCTTCTTCAAAAAAGTTAATTTTAAATGTGCTCACTAAAGTATGTTTTATTTTTTAATTTTAGACGCATGTGGCTTATCAGATGTGGCTCACATAGAATCTCTTCAAGAGAAAGCTCAATGCGCTCTAGAGGAATACTGTCGGACGCAATATCCTAGCCAGCTAACAAGATTTGGAAAACTTTTACTAAGACTGCCCTCGCTGAGAGCAGTATCTTCTCAAGTTATAGAACAGCTGTTTTTCGTTCGCCTTGTAGGTAAAACACCGATCCAAACACTAATACGTGACATGCTGCTGAGTGGCAGCAGTTTTAATTGGCCTTATGTCTTATCATCAACATCATTTTAAGAACTTTATATAATGTAATTGTTTGGTACTAAAAATAAAAATTTGAATGTATTGTATGGAGTAAATTAAGTTGCATTGTTAAAAGACATTCTATGCTGATTGTTTTTTTAGAGAGAAAATAAGTTATTTCTTCATCATAGTACTTTTTCAACATCATGCAGCATTCTGAAATCCTATTTTATTCGAAGCACACCTTTTTAAATACTCTGTTAATTTTTGAAAATGTATAGATAAAAGTGACGATTTTAACAATTGTTAACTATTTGCCTAAATTATTCACATATTATTTGTCGTATTTCGAAGTTTTTAGTTACTAAAGTTACAGTTTCTGGGAATGTTTATGAATAAGAAATTGAACTTATTCCTTAGTAAAATAATAATTTCTCAAGACATATAAACATAACTTGGTGTTTCACACCTTAGTTACGTCTAATATTAATTTAAGCCTTTGTAAAAGGTCGTACGTGAACGGCAGTTATTAACGTTTTTATTTTCTTTTCTTAAGGAAAATTACGTTAGAAAAATGAGGCACTCTTAAACTCTTTCAAAATAAACGAAATTAGGTACTATACATGCTGTATTTTATACGAATATGTATGGCACTTGAAATTAAAAACAGTGTACTTTTTAATACTGTATACGTAATACATCTAGCAGCTTAAACTGTATCAAAATTTATCATATGAGGTTGAGAAGACAATTTATCTTTTCATTCCACATATTTCAAAGCTCATTTTAAAGCAGTTGCAGGATGTCAAGAAATCACTTGTTTGATTTTTAAAAGAAAATAATAAATGTTTCTCATGATATCCAAGCCGTAACCCACCCAGCTCACCGGGTAAAGTACCTTTTGATTTTAAAAATGCTCAGTACAGAAAGTTTGATGGTTTTTTAAAAAAATCCTTCTGTTACACTTAATAATAGTTAGGGTGTGCTTAAGGCAATCACTATGTCCTCTTAATAGTATTCAGTTAGATAGATGGTCGAGTCGTCTGAGTAGAACTTTGATACTTTTAGAAAAAGGAGATAATTACGAAAATAGAACAAGGAAAGTAGAGATTAGGAATTCAGAAAAAGTAAAAACTCTGTACTAGATATACATAAAATCTGAATACAGTCTTATATATTTAGCATCACTGTCAAATAAAGTTTAAGGTTTATGGTTTATTTCATTTATCATTATATGGAAGAATAGACTGCAGTTACTTATTAAGTACGATTTGCTGTTATAGTATTCATATACTCCATTAAGCTTATATTATTGTATACAAGGACATTTAGGTTTGATTTATAATTTTTTGATAGTAAAAAGGATGAACTGTTATTAAACTATTGACTTTACAAACAAAGTCTTTTGGTTTCCTTTCATAATAACTGTAAGTGTACCTTGCTGACTATATAAAAGATGTATATTTAATATTATTTATTTCATAGGGTAAAATTAAAAAACTAATTAGACCCTGGAAAAACAATAATTTACTTTTTACTAAAACTTGTTTTGCAAAAAATATTCACGCAATGTTACAAGACCAAAGTCATTTAGAAAATAAATATTTCATTGGTCAAAATATCTCAACAATTAGGTAAAAAAAGTAATAACTGCAGGTATGAAAATTCAATACAAATATTTATGGCATTCTTTCAAGAAACATACAATAGATTTTACTTACAAACTATTTTGTTTTCTAGCTGTGTAATTTATTACAAAAGTATGAACATCAATGTTTGTCCTTTGTTGCCAGTGAAATACTATTATGATTTTCCTGGACATTCAAAAATGTATTTCTTACGTCAGGGACATAGAAGTGTTGAGACCTCAGCTTACACTTTATTAATTAAGATAATATTAGGATTCATTTAGGTTGTAGGATGATAGAAGTAATGAGGGAGATCTACGTCAAGTTGGAGTAATCCAAATCACTGACGCGATGAGTTGTTTCCCTTGTAGATGAAATGAGGGTACACCAACTAATTTTACAGCGGTAAGAAAAAAGTGGTGTCTTCTCTTCTAAAGTCAATGACACAAAAATCTTAGCTTTTTTTATTACAATCTGTATCACAATTATTAAGTTATAACTGTGATAGCAAGTTGACAATTCAGAAAACTAGGTTTATTTGTGACAAAGTAATAAAGTCATATGAACCCTCTAGTCAATTTTAAGCAAAAAAGACTTTTGGCTCAAGATTAATGATAAGCTGATACTAGATTCATAGCATAATGTGAGATAGCGAAAGCAGATTTTGATTCCCCAAGTCTGCAGTAAATATTTGGGGCATCAAAGAGTACGTGAAGTAGCAAAGTTAGGTTAGCGAGTGCCTGATTTACCATTGATTACTGGAGCGTGATCTGAGCTCGTATGGAACGATTAAATAGCTGTAGAAGATTCTGAGCCACCATGTCAACAGTAGGTAACAGGAATCCGTGGGAGATCATAAGATAGTAGAGGCTCATTCTATACTACTTAATCTGTCACACAAAATTTATCAGTCAACCACTATTCTTGAAAGCTTCAAGTTCTTAAAACATGTACCTCAATTTCTGGCTTTCTTACAGTAACGCAAAAAAAGTTTATAAGTTTTACATCTTTAACAAATAGTGATAGCTTTATGTTCAATTGGCTAAGGATGCTCTTGCTTACCAAGTCATGAGCTTCACTTTCTATGTTAATCTTCCTTCCATCTTGGACTTTAAAGGAAAGAAAGCTGTGGAAATTCCTTATTCATTTTAAATAGGCATCAAAAATTTGAACAGATATTTCTTATAATTATGTGAAGTATCATTGTTAAATGTTGTCCATTTTAAGATAAATTACATGCAGTTGGTTAAATTAACAAAGCTCATTGCAACAATAGGAATAAAAATCGCTAGATATTATGATTTGTTGTTCTCGTAAAAAGGTAGATTTAAAAAAAAAAATAGTGGTTAAATTTAACTAAATAAAATAAGAGTAGTTGTATTCAAAATTATAATTACAGCAGAGTGAAAATTGAAGCTACTTGGATACAAATAGTTAATAACAACCAAATAGTTATAGTTTTATTAGTTATAATTTTTAGTGTGTCTTAATAAATGGCAATAGTTAATGTGGAATTGAACATAATCAAAAATTGTACACTGTGAATCTGTCTTAAATAATACCACTATAATTTTTAGTAGAAAACACAGCCAAACAGTAAAAAGTAACGGGGCTTATTTCTTTGCAAGGAGGCACTTGCTATCACAAGGAATGTGAAGGTGGCAATATTCAAATGTTTGTAAATGATCTCTCACTGAAAAAAAACAAATAATAATAGAAAATGGTCAGTATTACTTATACTACTATATGCATTACTTTCTCGTTCAATGGAACTATTTCTTACCTCTTAAAAGTGTACTTCAAATTGTAAAGTGCCAGGTTATTTTAAGTTTAACCCAATTTATCATTACAGTATGCTAATAAACATGCAAAAATTTTATTTAAAAGTAAATTATTATAAAGAAAGGTAGTACCTACTAGAGGGAAACTATTATGGTACTCGTAAAATTTCATCAGTTGATTATATCTTATTGCCTTGATGGCATCCACAAAAATTAAAGTTATATTTTTATAGATGCGTTAGTCAACGATTTTAAATTGGTGACCTTAAGAAAAAGTGTAACAAAAGCAGATTTCTCACATAACTTTTTCTCCACCTCACTCCCTCACAGTACTGCCCCACTTCTTTTCCCTTCCACACCACATTGTGCCAAACCACCACAGCACATCATTGATCTTTAATGTTATTTAGTTTTAAAGTATTTTTATTTTCTTTAATCAATTCTTAAAATGAAAAAATTAAGAGTTTTTAATTGTCATAAAACCTCCGACCTCATGCACACTAACAGGGGCCTTTACCCACTCTGATATTTAATTACTTCTTGTCATAGTGTTGTTTGTAATTTTTTTTTTTAAGTCACGTTTCCCTTACTTTTGATAAATGTTTTTGTTTGGGTTCTAAATTACATAATTAAATAAATTATTTATTAAACCGATAATAGTTAAGTTTTTTTTTAAAACCTCAGAAATTTAAGAATTTCAGCAGAGCAGCTTTCCAATGGCTCTATTAATACTTATTTAGTTATTATGGCCTTGTTTTTTTATAAAAAATAATAACTATTTGAATAATTTTGTATTTTTTTTTTAATTTTCAAACGTTAAAAAAAAATTTTTAACAGTATAAAAACAGTAATTAGTTTTTATTGCATTTCATTCTCTCACAATATTCCTATTCGTGATGAAGGTGATTTTTTCAACATTAATATGTTCATCACGTAGTTAGTAAGGAAGAAGCTTAGAGAGGTGAAAGGAGTACAAATATATTATGTAACTAAGGTGGCGATTATTTTTTTTATATTGATCTACTAACATTTACGCTTTTACGGATACTTGACCCTTTCTTTCTTGTTCTATTGAAAAAATTAAGCTTGTGGATCTATTCTAAAATTTGATAGGCTTATGTCAAGGTAATCGTTTATCCCAACAAAAATTAAAAGATTTTTACAGATTATATAATACCATTTAATGTGATTTTTCCATAAGGTTACATGTTAAATTGCGGTTTTTGACAAATTAAACGTGTACAAAAAGGGTACAGATACATACTCTCCAATTTTTTTTTTTGGTATTCTTATGCTATTTGAAATATACGTTTGACTTTTAAATAATATCTGTCAAAAAACTTATGTATATACCGAATAACATGAAGGGAGTTCCCTGGCATGTTATACCATCCCATTGAAGAAAAAGGTACAGGATGATTTTTCTCCACCTTTAACATACTAATATATTTCGGGTATTAAATATGGACTAGAAAATCCTGTGAAGTAGGAATTAAACGTATGTGATATATGTGAGCATAACGTTAGAGATGTAGTTCAGTCTACATATTGTGCATATTTTATTGCACCGTAGTATATTGGTTATAATCGATAATTTAGTAAACATGACATTACTAATTAAAACTACGCCAAATTAACGTATGTATAATACTCAGTTTTATGATTATTGCACCACTTTCTTACATACTATCGTTTAAA